GCCAAAAAATCTTGCCGTACTTTTGGACATTTGTACCAACACCTACTCGTCACTAAACACCAATAAAATTCAGAAAAACGTTTGTACCATTTTTCTGAATAATTTACGACTGTTTTTGAAGCTCTGAATGGTTTGTACTTGGTCTCATTATCATGTACAGTAAATTGTTCCGTTTGTACTGCGATGGGAGTGGAAGTACGGAAGTGGAAACTTTTGTACCCACATCAAAACTTCACGAACTACACATGGAATCCATTACGATGATTTTACGGTTGATAAAAATGGAATCAGGTGATTTGATGAGAATAATAATAATAATAATAATAATAATAATAATAATAATAATGAATAATTTTCGTTGGTACAAACGAGTACTAACGATTTAGAAGTTATCTGTATGTTTTCCTGACGTCCTTCATACATTTAAGATTTTAGAAGCGGGTAAAGTATTGAAGGGGTTGATAAATGAAATGGAAAAATATAGTACATACAAGTACTATCCATGCTGAATCCTTGCTCATGAAAATTTTTTCCGTACCTTCATTTCTGACGCTGCACGATTTTTCCCGCACCTCTTACGTCTAGCGGTGCGGGGTACAAATGAAAATGAATGTAGTACATTCAGGTACTCACTGAGTACAATCGATACTATAAGAAAGACCATCGATTTATAAAACTTCGACTCCAAGTTCACACAGCTTGGGGTATTACGTCAAGAAAATGTTGTCAGCGTTGAGTAATGCCTTATTCTTTGACACGTTTGATGTTTTCCATGGAGAAATTGTCTACGAAATTGTCAAGTATTAAAAATGACCGAAAATCGCCATTATTCATCCAATTATCCCTCAAATAAGTGAATTTAATTAAATATTATTATTATTATCATTATTATTATTGATGACGTTGTCCATTTCCATGGTTAACAATAAGAGGAATAATTAATGGGATGTTGGAAGAGTTCAGCAGAACTAATTTATTGTCAAATCGCGACGTTTCGCTGCAAATCGCAACTTCTTCAGGCTCTTGACAGGTTTAGTACGTAGTCACTATAAACTGTAATAAAATGTGCGTGGGGCAACGACAACATATTAATTGATTAAAAATTGCAAAATACTCTAACAATATAACATCGGGGTCTGCAGCAACACCTGTCATTAATCACAGCCATGAAATATGCAATGAATTAGTATTGCTGAACTCTTCCAACATCCCATTAATTATTCCTCTTATTATCATTATTATTTATTACTGCTTTTAGGATACATAGCCCCATTGTTGCGGGGGGGTTAATTTAAAAGAACATAGTAGTTTGTAACACTAGTTCCAGAAGAGTAAATAATAATAATTGTGCCAACAAGTTACAAATTTGTGAATATTAATAACGCAAAGAAATATCTGGGTGTAAGGCAAGAGATCTTAGCATAATTTACATGCAGAAGCTGATTGACTTTTGGAGTGATCTGCGGGAGGCATTTAGTACATCAATTCAATTAAATATTAGTAAATGGTGGAGGTTAGACTCATTACATGTTCTATTATTCATGTTCAGCATGAAAATCTCCAGCATCGTTGCACATGTGAAAAAATGTACTAGAAAAACCTAGCGAATTCGCTAGACAATTCTATTGGATTTCTGTCAACTTTCTATCAGTTTTCGTTACGAATTTTTCAGTGCGTGTTTTTTTTGCCTGCCGATTTGTCATGGCTCTGCGTAATAATGAGTTCAATAATCAAATCAGTAGCGAAGCGGTAAACCGGGTTAAATCGATTTTGACTTTTGACGAGTTTTTGATGAATATCTCGGAATCTAAGAGAGATAGAACATTTTTCCCACGACCTTATTTATAACCCCCAATTGGCTCTACAAAAAAGATAATGACAAAAATTTTTCTATCTCTCTTAGATTCTGAGATATTCGTCAAAAACTGACCAGTAGTGAAAATCGACTTAACCCGGTTTACCGCTTCGCTACTGAAATGTTCTTACTTGATCTCCTTGAGGACGTAATCGGGAAAGCCAGCCTCATCGAAAGTGAAGACAGGATTAGGAATATTCCTCCCCCTGAGCGTGATCTCCTTGTCGCTCCTGTACTGCTCGATGATCCTGGGATCTCGATGGATGACGGAATCACATGGAATATAAAAGTCCTTCTTGAAGGGTTCCAACCTCCCCATGTCCCACCTGGGCTTCCTCAGGCTGGCCCCAGGTTGGCTTCTGCCCCCCCGATTGCCTCCCCCACGATCCCTGACGCCCCCGCCCCCCCAGCCACGTCTGTCACGAGGGGATCGACTCCTGGTGCGACTCCTGGATCTCCTGCGACGTTCACGCTCTCTGCTCCGACTTCGCCCCAACGCAAAATATATTCACAAGATATTAGTCATTCTCGGGATTCTCTCGGCGAAATCGTTGTGATAATTAGATTGGAGTAACCCGATTTACCCCGGTGGTTAAAAGAAGAAAGGATTTTTGTATTGAACGAGGGGAGAAGCGACGCGCAGACCCTGCGGACGCTCCAAAACGCACAGAGAACATTATCCAAGGACTCACCTTCTGTATCTGCCCATTTTGTACAAGTCTATTGCACTGGCTATTTAATGTAATTATCGGTTTATTGCTGCGATTCACAGGAAATTTATTCTGACGTTTTTACACTGGAATTTTGGTTGGTAAATGAGGAGGAAACGGGAATGGACAGAAGTAGGCTCAAGTAGGCTCTAGGCTGAGTCAAGTCTGACTGCCGGAGATGATGCACAGCGCGGCGCCACCATCTTTAACGTCGTAATGGTGAGTTTTCAATGATTGATGGGCGACGTGTTGTAAAAGGCGGTTCACTGTTCAAAATTTTTGACTGACATTTCCAGTTGTTGGAAATTTCTATCACACGTCAGTTCCACTGACATTTCACGGAATTTCGACATTGAAAATTCAGAATTTCAGGGAAAAGTCAATGAAAACTGTAAATTTCAGCCAAAGTATACTGAGAGAAAAACGACAAAGTTCCCAAACAAGTCTTCACGCACGAAAAAATCCTATTTTACTAAAGATGAAAGAAACGTGAAGTTGTTTTATATCGAAATATCTCGAAACTACCTGACCGCTAATCCTTAATTCTGATTGGTCAATATGTGCCACGAAGTTATTCACAAAAAAAACACGCGGCATTTTCAAATTCTTCAGTTACATAATTTCAAATTCTTCAGAGGTAAATTTTTTTTTCACGTCATATATATATATATAATATATATATTTCACATGTATTTATATTATCGGTGAAATTAATAAATTCTGTCCTTTTATGGAGACCGATTATTTTAAAAAATTGAAGATAATTAATTGAAAATGAAAAATTCTTTATAGATTCTTCTATTCTACTTCGCTATTCACTTCAATCATTAGTCAAATTCTCTTTGATTTATTATCAATATTTATAAGGTATTCATGAGAAAATGAAATTCAATGAATTCCATCTCTTCATTTCAACAAATGAATAGATCAGCGCGCGCAGAGATCTTGTTAATAGAAAAACCTATCGCATTCGTTAGAAAATTCTGTTGAATTTCTATTAAGGGGAAACGGATTCTTTTTTGGCAATTTTCAACTATCGATTTTGTTGTACCAAACAAGACTACTTGACAACGTGCTTGTTTTTCTTTCAGTGTAGTTCCTGATAATTGATAGAAATCAGTAAAAATTCAATGAATATGTTCTTGAGTTTTTAATTAATTGAAAACAGACATCGGCGGAATCATAAATTTTGAATGAAGTTAAAATTTGAATAAACAATTCTTAATATTTTTCAACAATTTTCAAATTATTAAATTGATCATCAATTAAATATTCAAATTCCGAATTATTTAATCAATTAATAATCGAGTTAGGAAGATTGACGAGTATTTGGCTAATCACAAATGATAAATTAGTCGTAAAATCGCTGAAAGTGCCCCAAACTCATAATATTTAATTTCAGGTAATTAACATGGGACAAAGTGCCCGAAAATCTAGTGACGCTCAAATGAAAAGGTGTGTAGAATTCATGTTATCATCTATTACAAGAATAATTGGAATCAAAATTTATTATGAATGAATTTTTTAATTTTATTTATCATGAAAAAGAACAGGGGTTTAATGATTACTGAGGCTCGTTGATTAGCTTCGTGGGGCTGAACTGTTCCCGGGAGCCACTGACATCTCACCACCTTGGGTATTATCACGCAGGGGACACTGAAAAATTAAGGATTACTATTAGTTCTGCGATTGAATCGGTGGGGATGAGAAGAATGTGAGGTTGATGGCTCACTTTGACTTGAATCTGATGCTTGAAAATTGCAGCACGAAGGAGGAGCATCTTGGTTCTTCTCTGGTACTCTTTCCCTATGCTTATTGACTTCTCGAAGGTTGTGCTACGTTGATCGACATCTTTGGCGTATAAAATCTGAAATTAGAAAATTAATCCATTCATTCATTTGTTCATTAATTCATTCATTCAATACATTAACGTTAAGGGAGGTGGGGTCATACCGCTTTTTTAAGTATCACAAGTAAATTTCGGCAAATTTTTCTGAACTTCTTCTTTATGTTTAAAAAATTTTCATTTTTCAATAATGTTAATTGTTTATTCAACAGAAGGAATTGAATAATTTTCAATTCCATACGATCGATTTTGTGAAGAGTTGTGTGAAATACACGAAAAAAAATCATTGAAAAATATTGAAAATTATAGGACTAGGTAGGTTTTTACGAGTCGAAAAAAAACGAATGACTATTTTCGGTAAGAATAGCAAAAAAATTACTTCGGATTCATCTTTTTAATCTCTTTAAGAGGGGGGGGGGGTCACACCACTTTTTTCAAGTACTAGAAGCATTTGTTGAAAAATATCGGGAATTTTTCTTCATTTTCTTCTTTTGAATAAAAAAAAACAAAATAGTGGCCATGAAACATCATGAAAACTTCATTTTTCAATAACATTACTTTTTTTATTTATTTTTGGACCGTGATCTGTATTTTTTTTACTTTGGTAATTTGAAATATTCTCCAATTGCCATTCAGTTTTACATAGCGCTAGAGTCTCCAAAAAATTTGAATGTACAATCAAAAAACGTTGAAAAAAATTGAAAGTTTTCAGAGTATTTTCAAATAATATTGGGAAATAAAACCAATAGGGAGGAAATTGCAATTGTGATACTCCTGTAGAAATTCTTGGGCATTAATTTTCCAAGTTTTTTCGCGGTATTTTCATTTATTTCTACTAATAAAATCTTTAAAAAAAATAAAAGAAATCGTGGCCCTAAATTCTCATAGAAGTCCGATAGAAATTCAATAGAATGCAATTTTCTATCAAGGATATCTAAGTATCTTTTACATAATTAATTTTGTCAATTAAATTGCCCAAGAAAAATTTGAAAAAAAACTATGAATATTCAGCGTCATTAAATTTACATTTTCCACAGAAATGTCCAGAATTATTATTTTATTAAAGATTCATTGTTTATAAATAAATAACTAAAATTGTTTAAAAATTCGGAAACCTTATTCTTTTAGGCGTGAAATCGAGTTCTGGTAAAATTCTGTACACGAATAAATTTGTTACGATTTTGAACAAATGACATTTATGGTGAAAAATTGAATGTTTATAAATTACTTATAAAAAATGCTCGTAATTTTCAAAAATTGTAATTTTTAAATTATTTCATCTTCCTCCCAAAGTAACCTTTCTAATTTTCTTTCCAGATTAAAAAAATTTTTCCTAACGGTTCAATATCGAGACTCAAATTGAGACGAGCAAAGTTTAAACAATAAAATCATTGTAAAATGTCCGGAACCTTAACGTCAAATGGGCTCAAATGAAAGCTCTGATGTTCGATTACAAAAGTAGAAAAGCATTTCACTGGAGAAAAAATACCCAAAAATCTTTGATACCTTAAATTTTTCCCTGCACGACAACAACACGAAAAACAAAATCCCGTTCCAAAGAGCAACTTCCTCACCTTATTATGAGAATCAATTCGTGCCTGGATCTGTCCATCAAGTATCAGCTGCATGAGTTCATCCTCGAGAGCGGGGACACTCCTATTAAAAGCCACAGCCATTCTCCTCATATCAGCGCTGAGATAAGGACTGAAGTACTGAATGAGCGCCCTATTACGAATCTGAGTGTACAAAGAGTTCACATGTGGAGCAATATACATGTCCAGTAGAATATTATCCTTGATCTCATCAAGAAGCTTTAGGCACGAGGCGTACTTTGACTCGTAGAATTTGAAGATGATGTCCCTGAGCTGTGGCTCGAGCTCCAAAAACAGTTTGAACGAGCTGCTGAAGATGACCTGCTTCTGCAGCTCGTGCCTGTCGAATGTGGCAAGGGCACAGAGACCCCCATAAAGTGCGACATTACCAGGGGACAGTAGCTCTGGGCAGTCGCAGTGATCCAAGGAGGCTTGGAGAAAGTGTTTAGCAGCCATTTTAAATTTCTTCATGGCAAGACCAGCTAGGCCAGCAGCTACTTTGAGCTTCGTCACGATCGACTGATTGTTGTCCTTACTGTGAACCTCAGGAAAGTCAGGGGCATTCTCAGCCTTAGCAACGTAAGTGAGAACATGCGTCCAATTCTGAAGGTAAACAGATACTTTAATGACATTCAGACACATGTTGACCACGTGTTTTCCACTTGTGCAGTAGTCTCGAGCCCTTGAGTAACACTTGAGGGCGTTAGCTAGGTCTCCACAGTCAAGGTAGTGGTCCCCGAGGTCGTCGTGACCCCTTCTGATGCTCTCCTTGATGGAATTGCTACGGTAATTCTTCAGGTCTGTGTCGAACTTCTCGAGTTTGAGGGCTGCTTTCTTCGATTTTGACTCCACCCACATCTGATTGAGCACTGGCGTGTCCTGGGCTGAGGTGGACTGGGCTGCTACGTCGGGGAGGCCTGGGGTGTTCAAGGCGTGGAGGAGCTTCTTGTGGAGAACTTGGTACAGGGAGACGTTGTACGTAGTGAGGACGTGGGTGATTGCCATCTTCAGGGCCTCTATTCGCAGGCTGGGACAGTGATCGGCAATGTAGATAAGGCGGTAGAGCTTTGCCAGCCCTGTGTAGCTGTTCGCGTATACCTCGAGGTCCTGGTTGATTCATTCATTGGGACATTAAAGTTTTAGCGTACGTCAGGTGTCCAACATGCAGGACAAAATTTAATGGAATGATCTGACGCTAGAGAAAGCAATTCTATTTGAAGGTTATTTGGTTTTTTGCGTTGGTTGTGCAGATGATTATGTAACTTTACCGTGTCTTTTTGTTAAGGATATCTGAGTATAATTTACAGTTTGGTACAGGCCACACTATAGATTCAACCATTTTCAATTATCAAATTTGTGAAGAGAATTGCGTGAGAAAAAGTTGAAAAAAATCGTGAATATTTAGCATCTGAAGTAGCTCTACCCTACGGCCGGGCTACGCTGTACTTTTGGATATTTTAAGTTTTTAAATTTTTCAACTAAATTGCATGGAAAAACTTTGAAAAAATTCATACCCAATCAGTATTATCTAAATTAAATTTCGCAAAATATTGATATTTTTCAAACATTTCCCTTTTATAAATAAATAATAAAACTTGTTGGCAAAATGGATTATTTTTTATGAGGTGTCAAATTCTTGATTTTTTCACATCTAATGAAAAAAAATTCAGTTTTTAATCTTTGATTACAATGGAAATGTCGATTTTCACATAAGACTGGGTTAAATCTTGATTTTTTAACATTTCGTCTTTGAAAAACCAAAACGATAATTAAATTGAGAAAAAAATTAGAATTTCGAATCTAATCGAGTTTTCTGCAATTTTTTGCAGTTTTCAATAATCTTTGAATTTACCGTAAGAGTAGAGCTACTTTAAATAACATTTTGTACAGAATTATTATGTTTTTAAACATTCGTTGTTTATGAGTAAATAATTGAAATTGTTTGAACTCCAACATTATTTTTCATTATTAAACATTATTTGTTTAGGCAAATGAAATTGGTTTTGGTAACATTTATTTACAGAAAAGGCTCGGAATTTTTAAAAATTGCAATTTTTTAATTGTTTTATCAATCTTCCTCCAAAAACAAACTTTCTAATTTTTTTCAGATTTTTGAAATGTTTTCTACTATCGATATTCGTTCAATATCGAGATCGAATTCAGAGCTGCAAAGTTAAAATAATAAAATCATTACAAAATGTCCGGAAACAGGGTCAGATGGGGTTCAAATGAAAGCTCGGATGATAAACTACAAAAGTAGAAAAGCATTTCAATGAAGAAAAAATAGCGAAAGTACTTGGAAATCCTGAAAGTATATTTAGTTGAAAAAACAGAGATCGGTATAGTCGTAAATTTTAAGTAAAGTTAAATTTGGAATTATTCAATTGATTAATATTAATCAACATTTTTTTAATTATCAAGATAATCATCAGTTAAATATTCCAATTTTGAATTACTTTAACAAATAACAATTGCCAATTCCAATTATCAATTATTTAATTTATAGTCAATTGAAAATTTATATTATCAATTATTTTATCATCTTTAACCAAAATAAGTAAACTTTAATTATTTTAAGGTGCAACTTCTCCTAATATTAATAATCTAATGATTAATGCTGATCCCTGAGAAAAAATCAATAATTTTTTTTATAAAAATCTCAACAGAATAAGTTATACGGAAAAATCCACATTCATAACTTTCTCTCACATCCGCATTTCACGATTTACATATGGAATTGTAAAAAAATGTAATGTAATAACCCAATTACATATTGTGTAGCCTGAATTCCACATTGTGTGATTCAAACATGTAATTTTTAATTTATTGTTCGCAAATCGACAGAATATTCATCTAATTCCTAACTGTTTCAATCAAAATCAAGTGTCTTTCTGTCGGAAAAGCATCCAAATTGGCTTCTAAAAGTTGATACTTCCCATTCACATTTAACGGAAAAAAAACGAATAATCCGATACCGATGGATGAGTGCTCTTAACCATCCGAAAACTAGTGCCCCCACGGTATGTCATGCAATTAGAATGTGGCAATTACAATTTTTGTAGACAAGATCTAAATCCAAAACCCAAGTGTCTCAAAAATTAAACCAACTCCATAGTGTGCTAGCTCATTTAATTAAGAAAATGTCATGTCAGTGTTAAAGAATGCCCTTGATTTCTAAATACTGATAATAGAAAAATTGTTTACGAGTGTTGGATTTTCGACGATGTAAGGCTCCTCCTCGGTGTTGTCGTTGTCCTCCGGTGGTGCATCCACCTGCATTGGCTCAACTGCATTCTGCTGAGCGAAAGCAAACATGTTTGAAGACCTCGTGGCGCCGTTGAGGTAAGTTTGTGGATTATTTTTTACTGTTAATGGATTCTTCGGGGGAGGAATCCAATGGGGAACCGGCCGGCTACGATCCCTGGGAGATCACATCAGACCTGTCAAAACTAACCTCTTCAGTCTGCACGAGTGTTTTTGTGCCAAATTTTTTTGGACATTTTGGAGTTTTTACCTCGTGAATCATGCCTCAGGGAGTATTAGTCTCTGATGTTGAGGCTGGATATTTTCGGAGACACCTCGATAGTCCTAGTGGTTGTTGTGGAGAGTATCTCGAGGTGATTTTGTCTCTCGAGATGATAATGACTGGATCCCAACTGATCCCAACGGTTGTAGTCGGTAATGGGAAATTGTGATGTTATCAACAGGTAATTGGAGGGCTCGGTTGGGCTGGAGGGGCCGTTCTGCGGGAGAATTTCGAATGTGATCCTTATTTTTTGTGTGAAGTAGACTTTTGTAGTCATCAATGCTGTACCGTCAATGTCTCAGTTTATTTATCCACTTCATTTTTCTCTGTTTTATAAACATGCAAATCGACTTCTGGTGACGAAAATTCGGTACTCGAAATTAAGACTCATGATGGTCAGAATAAGGATCATGAAGGTCAAAATGAGTGTCATGATTAAGGTTAGATTAAGGGTCTAAATAAGGGTAACAAGGGTCAGAATAAGGATCACGAAGGTCAAAATGAGGGTCATGATTAAGGTGGGATGAAGGGTCTAAATAAGGGGAACAAGGGTTAAATTAAGGGTTGCAAGGGTTACATTAAGGGTCACGTGAGTCAGATTAAGGGTCATAAGGGTCATGATAGTGAGAATAAGGATCATGAAGGTCAAAATGAGTGTCATGATTAAGGTCAGATTAAGGGTCTAAATAAGGGTAACAAGGGTCAGAATAAGGATCACGAAGGTCAAAATGAGGGTCATGATTAAGGTGGGATGAAGGGTCTAAATAAGGGGAACAAGGGTTAGATTAAGGGTTGCAAGGGTTACATTAAGGGTCACGTGAGTCAGATTAAGGGTCATAAGGGTCAGAATAAGGGTCATGATAGTGAGAATAAGGATCACGAAGGTCAAAATGAGGGTCATGATTAAGGTGGGATGAAGGGTCTAAATGAGGGTAACAAGGGTTAGATTAAGGGTTGCAAGGGTTAAATTAAGGGTCACGTGAGTCAGATTAAGGTTCATAAGGGTCAGATTACGAGCCATATAGCAACAGAAATTCTTTGCGAAATATCCATTCCGCTCTACTTTCGATCAAATTCTCCGGAATTCTTCGTTTCCCTTTCTATTTCATTACGAATCACATGTAATATTCTAGGAATCAGCTGAATTCTCGCTAATTTCCTATGGAAATTTGTTCCCATGAGGGCCGCAAGCATGAATATATAAAATTATTTCAATTTTGTTTTTATCACAAACTTTTTCATTTCACTAGAGTTTTTTGTCCACCGTGAAAAGTGGGACTGATCACAGACATTTATATAAATTCATGTAATTATCAGTGGAGTCATTGAAAATATGAAAATTAAAGCCTAGTTAGTAGTAGCCTCGAACTTTATCTTGGCGGGCATTCACTGGGTTGGACGCAAGGGCCATTGTGCGTCAATCTGATCAATCCCTCGTTGCAGTAGCAGCGTTGTCGACACACCTAGAATCATTGAATATTGTCCATTCACCAAACACGCACGGAAAGAAATATTCACTAAAAATGACGTATCTTTTCCGTAATTTCGGAGCGAAATGTGGTTGTAAGAAATTTTACGGAACTGTCACGGAATTTTTCCGGAGCGTTCCGTAATTTTTATCTGAATCTCCTGTGAAAAACTACGATACCGTCACTTGAAGTAGCTCTACCCTTACGGTAAATTCAAAGATTATTGAAAATTGCAAAAAATTGCAGAAAACTCGCTTAGATTCGGAATTCTAATTTTTTTCCCAATTTAATTATCGTTTTGGTTTTTCAAAGAAGAAATGTTTAAAAATCAGGATTTAACCCAGTGTCTTATGTGAAAATCAACATTTCCATTGTAATCAAAGATGAAAATCTGAATTTTTTTTTCATTAGAGATGAAAAAATCAAGAATTTTTTTGACACCTCATAAAAAATAATCCACCGCACGGAGAGAAATATTCAATAAAAATGACGTATCTTTTCCGTAATTTCGGAGCGAAATGTGGTTGTAAGAAATTTTACGGAACTGTCACGGAATTTTTCCGGAGCGTTCCGTAATTTTTATCTGAATCTCCTGTGAAAAACTACGATACCGTCACTTGAAGTAGCTCTACCCTTACGGTAAATTCAAAGATTATTGAAAATTGCAAAAAATTGCAGAAAACTCGCTTAGATTCGGAATTCTAATTTTTTTCCCAATTTAATTATCGTTTTGGTTTTTCAAAGAAGAAATGTTTAAAAATCAGGATTTAACCCAGTGTCTTATGTGAAAATCAACATTTCCATTGTAATCAAAGATGAAAATCTGAATTTTTTTTTCATTAGAGATGAAAAAATCAAGAATTTTTTTGACACCTCATAAAAAATAATCCACCGCACGGAGAGAAATATTCAATAAAAATGACGTATCTTTTCCGTAATTTCGGAGCGAAATGTGGTTGTAGGAAATTTTACGGAACTGTCACGGAATTTTTCCGGAGCGTTTCGCAATTGTTATCTGAATCTCCTGTGAAAAATTACAATACCGTCACTCAAATTTTCTGAATCGATTCCGTAATCGGTGAGTGAATTGTGAGTTCCGTAATTTTTACTGAACGTTTCTCTCCGTGTGCTTTGCCAAAAAGGTAATTAAATGTCTAATAAGAAACATTTCATACTGCCGTGCAGCCCTCGATTACGGGTTCGGGACAAGTGGGAAAACAGCTGCCGCAAGGGTTGAAGAATTCACCCGGAGGACACTCCTGAGCACTTATGCCTGTTGAACACAAGAAAAAAAACATTACTTGACCGTCGTCCGGAGAAAATAGTTGAAGAAAAATAATTACTGGTTGTAGATTGTAATTATTCCAGTACTAGTACTACAATTTTTCTACAGAATTTCTCTCGGTGTAATACTAAATCGCGCAATATGTTTTAGAGATACTACACTGAGAGAAAAACAAACACGTTGTCAAACAAGTCTTGTTTGGGCCAACAAAATCGCTAGTTGAAAATTGTCAAAAAAGAATTTGTTTCGTTCGAATTTGAAAGTCTCAAACATGAATAATTGTTCTGCTTTCGACAGCAACGAAATTTGTGGCTCAAGAGGCGGATAATTCACACCAGACGGTGCCTTTTCAGGATGAAAATGTCTCATATAGAGGAAAATTTATCAACAAATATTTCATCCCTAAGTTACAAGATTGCTATCATATCATTATTATTGTTTCATTTAAGGGTTGATTTCTCGTCTGTGATTATTAGACAGCCGAAACGAAAAACTACTATCTCTTGGTTCGCATAAAACAAAGATTTTTCGGGAGCAAAATACGTATGGGAGTATCGAATAACGAAGGAGTAGTGCTAGAAATGACATTTCTTGCATGTACAGAGAATGCAATTTTTTTTAAACTACTAAATCTATTTTTGCAACAAAAATTCTTCATTCCGGCGCACTCTCTGCATGTTTGGCACAAAAAAAATCCTTTTTTGATAATTTTCAAAAAACTATTCTCTTGGCACAAGTAAGAGTTGTTTGAGAATTTTGTTTCATGTTCGAACGAACGAGCTCAAACTATTAAAAAAAATAACAAGTAGAAAGCCGATTTGAAGATCATTGAGGCTTCCTATCCATCCCATAAGTCGTAAAAAAATAATGGGTATTAATCGATAATAAAATTGTCAATATGAACGCAGAAAGACGGAAATGTATAGACGCATCTTTAATTTATCGGCGAGATATTTTTTCATACGATTATAGTGAAAATACGATACAATATCAATAACAATAATGCAACTTACCGGCGATACCGACAATTGCAACAGCCAGAATTAAGTAAAACCCAACGCGAAACATGTTCGATGTCTTTGCAAAGTTCCACTGTGATGCCGCCAGCTAGTAGAAACCGATTTTATAATCAGTCAGAAAAATCACGAAAGCGTGATCCGTCACCTCCAACCATCAATGTATTCTAAACTGTAGAAGGGGAAGGAAAAATACTGGCAATAGCATATTTATTTCCACTTTTGCCTTTCCTCAAATTCTCAACATCTAAAAATAACAAGCAACAAAGAGAATAATCAGGAATATTTGTGGATCAAATATTTGGGAACCGTCTGTTACAGCAACTGCTCCCCGCACTCTTTTCCGTATTCATAATATTATTGGTTACTCCTTTATTGATGGACATTATTTAATGCCTCTTATCTCTTTGAAATAATGAGGAGTACGTATTGTGATTTTGCTTGACCATAATATACGTGAAAAGCCTAGCGCATTCACTTGAAAATTCTATTGGATTTCTATTGGACTTCTCTTGAGAATTCTATCACCGTTGATGGACCAATTAAAATGGTGCGAATAAACTCCAGTTTAGAAGTTGAGTGTAACGAGGAAAAATAAATTAAAAAGCCCAAAAAAAAAGATTCATTGTTGATAGTTTTTCCCATAAATTCTAACTTTGATGAATGTAAGAAATTGATCCCTCAAATTCTTTTTTCAATTATATTTTTAAACAATAGTCTCTCGTTTGTCTAGGGTGTTTTGACATAACACTTCATTTACACGTATGAAAAAATCCTATAGGATTTCCTGTAGGATTTCCTATAGGATACCCTATAGGATGTCCTATAGGAAATGTTCGAATTCTCCATAGGATTTCCTATAGGATTTTTCTGGTGGGATTTGTAGGATTTCCTATAGGATTTTCTATATGATTTTCTATAGGATTTTCTATAGGATTTCCTATAGAATTCACTATAGAGGTTTCTATAGAAATTAACACACAAAATTGAGACTCGAAACCAATCGGTCCCTCAAATTTTTTTTTCAATTATATTTTTAAACAATAGTCTCTCGTTTGTCTAGGGTGTTTTGACATAACACGTCATTTACACGTATGAAAAAATCCTATAGGATTTCCTGTAGGATTTCCTATAGGATACCCTATAGGATATCCTACAGGAAATCCTATGGAGAATTCGAACATTTCCTATAGGATTTTTCTGGTGGGATTTGTAGGATTTCCTATAGGATTTTCTATAGGATTTTCTATAGGATTTTCTATAGGATTTCCTATAGAATTCACTATAGAGGTTTCTATAGAAATTAACACACAAAATTGAGACTCGAAACCAATCGGTCCCTCAAATTTTTTTTTCAATTATATTTTTAAACAATAGTCTCTCGTTTGTCTAGGGTGTTTTGACATAACACTTAATTTACACGTATGAAAAAATCCTATAGAATTTCCTATAGGATTTCCTTTAGGATGTCCTAAAGTATAGGGGACCCTATAGGATGTCCTATAGAAAATCCTATGGAGAATTCGAACATTTCCTATAGGATTTTTCTGGTGGAATTTCTAGGATTTCCTATAGGATTTTCTATAGGATTTCCTATAGAATTCACTATAGAAATTTCTATAGTGAATTCTATAGGAAATCCTATGGAGAATTCGAACATTTCCTATAGGATTTTTCTGGTGGAATTTCTAGGATTTCCTATAGAATTCACTATAGAAATTTCTATAGTGAATTCTATAGGAAATCCTATGGAGAATTCGAACATTTCCTATAGGATTTTTCTGGTGGAATTTCTAGGATTTCCTATAGAATTCACTATAGAAATTTCTATAGTGAATTCTATAGGAAATCCTATGGAGAATTCGAACATTTCCTATAGGATTTTTCTGGTGGAATTTCTAGGATTTCCTATAGGATTTTCTATAGGATTTCCTATAGAATTCACTATAGGAATTTCTATAGAAAAGAACACACAAAATTGAGACTCGAAACCAATCGGTCACAAGAGTCAGGATTAGGGTCATACATCTGATAGGAAATTCTATAGGGAATCCTATAGGAAATCCTATAGGAAATCCTGTGGGAAATCCGATAGGAAATCCTATCAAAAAAATTCTATAGGAAATCCTGTGGGAAATCCGATAGGAAATCCTATCAGAAAAATCCTATAGGAAATGTTCGAATTCTCCGTAGAATTTCCTATAGGAAATCCTATAGCATTTTTTCATACGTGTTTGGGCACGCTAAAACGTAAATTATTTATTACAAAAGTTTGACACTGATGATAGTTTGTACATTAGGTACAGAATTTTTATTTATTATTTTTAATTTTTCCAGATGTTTCAAAATTTTAATCATTTTCCTAAACTCGGAAAGTTAATTTTCGAGTTTGCGTTTCGAGTTCACACTGCTTGTTTTTTGGAATAATCAATTCACATTATCATCGGGGTAGCAACAGAAATTCTTTGCGAAATATCCATTTCGCTCTACTTTTCGCCAAATTATTCGAAACTATTCTCAATGTTTCGTTCCCTCTTTATTCTTGTATCAATGATATGTTATGTTCCAGAAATAAGGTGAATTCTCTCTAATTTCCCATGGGAATTTGGCCCCATGAGAGTCTCAAACATGAATAAATAAAATTACTACAATTTTTTTTCGATTACAAACTTTTTAATTTCCATACAGTTTTTTTTCATCAAGAAAAGTGAAAACGTTCATAAATATTCATATAAATTCATGTCATTATCAGTGGAGTCACTGAAAGTATGAAAATCACTACATCGTTAGTAATAGTCTCGAACATTATCGTGGCGGGCATTCACTGGGGCTGACGCAAGGGCCACCACCTGTCAACCTGATTAATCCCTCGTTGCAGTAGCACCCTTGGTAACACACCTAGAATCATCGAATATTTTTCATTCACAAGCCTGCTATGACGAAAAGATAATTAAATGTCTAATGAGGAGCATTTCATACTGCCGCGCAGGCCTCGATTACGGGTCGGGCACAAGTGGGTACACAGCTGCCACAAGAGTTAAAAAATTCACCCGGAGGGCACTCCTGAGCACTTATGCCTGTGGAATATAAAAAAAAAAAAATTAGTTGACAAATGTGGGGAAAAACAGTTGAATGAAAATTACTGAATAATTCAAGCAATTCTGGAGTACAATTGCGTCCTGAGTCTTTTCGACTCGAGGGGCTGGTCACTAGAGATGCAAAATGACCGTCATTTTTTAGATCGCGTCATATGACCAAAAAATGACGGTCTTGTGACGGTCATGTGACGCACAAATTTTCCAACTACATTACATTTAAATTACATTTAAATAATATAAAACAAAACAAAAATATTATACTAATACTACGTGGCCCAATATTTTGTAGAGCTCTAGGGTGAACCAACCAGTGCTCGAACGTACAAGCTCAGACTAGTTTTGACGTACATTAAAAAATATAACAAAGTAGAAAGTCGATTGGGAGATCATCGAGACTTCCTTTCCATCCCGTAGGTCATGAAAAGAAAATAATGGATATTAATCGACGATAAAATTGACAATATGATTTCAAAAAGGGGGAACTACACGGATAGAAGGATTCAGTTGCTGTTACCGAGGTTTTATAACTATTCCCACGATTCGTTATCCATTAACTCAGTAGCGAAGTGGTCAAACGGTTCAAGTCAATTTAGTCTTTAGTTGAGTTTTCCAGAAATATTTCCGAATTTAAGGGAGATAGCGGAATTTTCATAAGAACATTGTCTGGTGAGGAACTAGGAGGGTGGATGTGGGAGAAAATGTGGAGGGAGATGCTGGAAAATTAATTGTTGAGACGGATTATAAAAATCGCCGTTTATTGTGGAATCGAACCACGTCAAATAAATTCTTTGTACACTCTTTGGTATTAAATTTCACTGTTGAGTGTCTTAAAATCACTGCTAATTGTCTGCAACTTTAATAACGTTGAATCACTGATAATAATCGAAATTTAAAGCGTTTGACCACTTCGCTATTGAACTGTTAACTATTAACGAATCGTGATGATAGTTAAGAATACAGCAAAAACAAATGTTTGAATTTCACACACCTTTTGTCGACATTTTTCAGACACTAAAAAACGTCTGAATAAAGCGAAAATGTGTCTGAATTTCAGACGAACAGATGCCCAAACATGTGAATTCATGTTTGAAATTCAAACAAATTTTCATTTTATTGGTCGCCATGCGAGGGAATTGCCGCAACACGTCGTTTTATTCACCTTGCCATCGACTGGTTGACCGGAAAAATTTGAGAAAAATTGAATTCGTCAATTGAAGTATCTGGAAAATGCTAGTATTTTTTTTCAGTATTGTATCCTTAATTCTGGGAGAAAAAAAATTATTTCCAACAGGTGAACAATTTTTTCCCGCGTTAAATGAAATCGCCTGTTGCGCGACGTTGCTGGGAACTAGCTAAACGCGCCCGGGAAGTGTAGAGTGGATTCGGCAACGCTGGAGCCTAAATGACACGGCGGCACCTCCCGCGAAGGTGACAAAAGTCGAATTTTCCCGTCAGGTGACCAGACTAGGGCTAGTGTCTGAAAAATGTCTACAAAAGGTTTGTGAAATACAGACTTTCGTTTTTGCTGTGAAGCCTCGTTAATACCAACTGAATCGTCCCACCTTTTTTATCACTGTAGATATATCTTGAGTTTGTCGGTACGATATTAATAAAAATAATGCAACGTGGTGTTGTGAGACAAACGAAATTTCACGTGAGAAACTTACCGGTGATGCCGACAATTGCAACAGCAAGAATCAAGTGAAATCCGACGCGAAACATGTTCGACGTCTTTACAGAGTTCCACTGGGACGCCGCCAGCTAGTAGAAACCGATTTAATAGTCAGCCAGGAAAATAACGAATACGTGATGCGTCATACTCGATTATCAGTGTAATTTTATCTGAAGAAGGGGGAGGAAAAATACCGGCAATGGCTTGTTTATTTCCGTGTTTGGCTTTCCTTAAACCCTCAACACCTGAAAATAACGAGCAACAAAGACAATAATCAGGAATATTTGTGGATCAAATATTTGGGAAGCGTCTGTTGCAGCAACTGCTCCCCTCGCTCATTTCAGAATAATAGAAAAGATAAAAAACAAGTGGGAAATTACTCCTGTATTGTATATAGTGTAGTTATTTTTGCTAGTAAATTAGCAATATGCTTCCGAATTGCTATTTTGCACATAATTTCCTTCTATCATGTATAATTCAGTAGCGAAGTGGTAAAAGGAGATAAGTCAATTTTGACGATTGACCAGTTTTCAATCAATATCTCGGAATCTAAGGGAGATGGCAAAATTTTTGTTATAACTTTTTTTGTGGAGCCGATTGAGTGCTACAATAAATGTACTTACCAAAAGTCGCTATCTCTCTTAGATTCGGAAATATTCCTCAAAAACTTAAATGGGAGATAAGTCAACTTATCTTCGTTTACCACTTCACTACTGAATTCATTGTTTATTTCATGTTATTAAATTGAATAAGATTTCCTTTTACCAGCTCCTGGTGAGAAAAAAACTACCGACGATGTTCCCACTTTTTCGCATGGAATAATATTTTTTCATTTATTAAAAAAAAACAACCTGAAAACTATTCAATGCGTGAACAGATACAAATAAATTTGATTAGCTCCAAAAATAATTTTTAACCGGAGATACTCCCTAATATTGCTTGAATTTTGAATCTGAATGGAAAAATTTTTTTTGTTCAGCGCTTGGTTTTCTGCAGGAAAACAATGGAAACCCCTTCGTCTCACCTCCTACATTTCCTCCTCGCCCGATTATCCTTAAATATTGAATTCACCGTGAATTGGAAATTTAGATTATCAATTATTTCAGTATTTTTTAATTTCGATTAGAATATTTAAACCTTGATCAGTGTAAGTCGGAAATTCTTCTATGAAGAATGGGAAGATGATGGCTGTCCCTGTTCGAAAGCAAAAATCGATTTAGTAAAAGAAAAGTTGGAAAATTCATGGCCTCGAATTTTCGTAGAAAATGTCTCAAATGATTTTGGAATTTTGAGCGCCAATGGATCCGCAGGATCCGTCAGTCCGCTGTGCCTCACGCGGCGATTGTTGACACTACGAAAATAGTGGAATTCCTCGAAAAACACTGAAGTAGATACAGTCTGTTTTAGGTGTGTCCGGTGTGTCATTTTGACACAAGATCAACATAAACTCATTCGTCCAGGACATTGCGTCAACCTTACGGAATTAATGTGATATGATCCTGTCTCTAAATCTCAGCGAGATAACAATTTTTTCACGTAATTATCTTATTATTGTTTACGTTCGTGGGAAGGGAAACTATATATTAAGCTCGCTTCTCTGCTTGTTATCAATACTATCTGTCCTATTTACGTTTCACAGGAACAATCTTGATCATCTGTTTCCTTGGATTTCTTAGGGGAGCACAAGCTCATGAAAAAATGATATCCAGTGCCAACACTGAGACTTTCCTGAGGGAGGCTGAGGCTTGTCGAGTGTTTTCATCTACTTTTTATAGAGTAACGTTTTTTGTGGTTTTTGGAAATTTATTTCTCAAGCGGAAATTTGTTTCATTGATTTATCAATTATTATGACTAATGACGAAGTGACGATTTAATGATGGGTAAATGGGAACGATTATTTATCGAACACAGATAAGAGCTTCCGTCATGTTTTAAAAAATTTAATCGAAAAAGCACTTTTTTGTAAATTAATTTAGCACTTTTTTCAAGAAATTTTACCAAATTTCTATTGGAACTCTATAAGAGTTCGATTGATTTTTGCGTGCCAATGCTATTGAAGATTGGGGAACTTTTTCAACGATACCTACAGAATTTTTTTCAAGTTTTTTCCACTGTATTTTCATTATTTTCTCATAATAAAATTCAGAAAAAAAGTTTAGGAAAATTCATATTCCAGAAAAAATTCATGTCTTTTGAAAAATCCCAGCAGAATAAGTTATAAAGAGATGTCAACATCTACAGACTTTTTTTTCTATAAAAATATATCTATTGAAAAACGTACAGCAGAGTTACGCAATTTTTAATAGAATTGGCGCAATCAAAATTGTATTTTTTAATTTAAAAAATACCGTTTTTTATTTCTATTGAAATAAAGTTTCGATAGAAATTTAATCCAATTTTTTACAGAAAGCGCCATCGGTTTTCTATTCTGTCGTGAATTGGTAAACTACGATAAGTGCATTTCTTCGAAAATTCGTTTTTTTTTGTTACATCAGTTCCCAGCAATTTGTGGAAGCAGTTTGGCAAAATGATTTTTTTCGAAAAGATACACTTATCCTAGTTTACGAATTCACCACTGTATTAAAGTTTTGCATACGTGATCTCATTCATTTATTTATTTTTTCAAGATTGTAGGTGAACAGTTGAAAGATTCAAATATTGTTTCATCACCCTTGAGTGTCCACATACTATTGTCATATCTCACTCATGGAGCCAAAGGACGCACCGCCGAGGAATTGATAACTGGTCTCAGCATAACTGATATTGAGCGATGGCACATCGGTTACAAGAGCCTCATTTCTTCATTGAATGTGAGATAAATTTCAAATTATTCAGTCGTCCCATTAGTCAAGACTGATATATTGATTTTATATTTTTATTGAATATTTTTTCTGAGTTTTGTCTAGTCTGGCCAAAAACTCCCGAAATAAACTCTTGAAATTTCTTTTCAAGTTGAGTTCTCAAAGTCCCAACTTTAGACTATTAGAATTCAGTAGTGAAGTGGTAAACGGAGATAAGTCGACTCATCTCCCAGTTGAGTTTTTGAGGAGTATTTCCGAATCTAACGAAGATAGCGAAATTTTCATAATTACATTTGTTGTAGCACTCAATCGGCTCCACAAAAAAGGTTATAACAAAAATTTTGCTATCTTCCTTAAATTCCGAGATATTGATTGAAAACTGGTCAATAGTCATATTTACTCATCTCCTTTTACCACTTCGCTACTGAATTTAAGTAGCCTTTTTTAAAAATCTCAAGCTCAGATTTTTTTCAATTTCAAAAATGTAAAAATCTCAATTTGAGACTTTCAAAAGTCTCAATCTGAGCTCATACGTCTCAAAATGAACATTTTTTTACATGTTCGCAATGAAGTTGATCTTAAATCACTAAAATTTGCAGGGACCAGCAAAAGCCGACCTCCTCATAGCCAACTCAGTATTCCTCCAAAATAACGTTGACTTACTCCCAAACTTCTCATCAATTGGAACAGATTTCTACGACTTCACTGTTGCGAAGCTCGACTTCACGAATGGGGTTGATTCAGCAGGACAGATAAACAGCTGGGCAATGAAGCAGACAAACGATAAAATAAAAAATATCATTAGTGCAGGTGAGGCTCAAACACCTTGTGAATGACCTTAATCATTTTTTCCTATCTCCTGTTTTTTTCTTTTTCTCGGTTCCCCTTTAGACGACATAACTGATGATACTCAGATGATCCTCGCAAATGCAATTTACTTTAAAGGCTCTTGGCAATTTCCCTTTGACGTTGAGAAAACGACTCCTAAGAATTTTTATCTGACTAAAGATGTTGTTAAGAGAGTTGCTACGATGAGCCAGAAAAAACGCTTTCGACATGGTGATCTTCCAGAGCTTAAAGCTAGATACATCGAAATCCCATACACCGTAATAATCCTGTCTATTTATTATTTTTGGATTAATTCAGCATGGAGTGGTAAAAGGAGTTGAAGTAGTGTGAATACTTTGATTTCCAAAAATTATAGGCCCGGTAGCACCAAGTCCTGTTGTCCAAATAAACCCCAGGGGGAAATTTATCCTGGGGGTCGTAATTTTTCAATATTTGACCCGAAGAATAATTTTTTATTTATCCTGTAGCCCCATTTGAATTAACACTGATTTAACCTTGAAATTAAATTTGATTTTTGTTGCTGGAATAAATTTGAGATACTCTCCCGGGTAAAATAATCCATCGAACATCCAAATTTACTTTTTTTCTTATCTGACGTTTTTGTTATCCGGAGCTGGTGCAACCGGGCCATAATCTGAAATAAATTTTGAATAGAACACGGATGAAAAAATTTATGGAAAAAACCTAGCGAATTGGTTATTATATTCTATTGGATTTCTATTGAACTTTTTGTTAGTTCAATAGAAAATATTGAATAGAAAAAATCAACAGAATTCTATTTTTCTATATAACTCATTTTATTGAGATATTCTCTATAGATTTTCCTCGGCTCGAACTTCCCAAGTTTTTTTTTGTTTGATTTTCTAGATGAGAAGGAAAAAAAATAGAATGAAAAAACTTCAGGCAATTCTATAGAACTCCCTCGCCTCAAAGCCTTTTTAGTCTGAAGAATAAGTTATATAGAAAAAATTCTATTGACTTTTCTATTGAACATTCCAATAGAATTGACTAAAAACTAATAGAAAGTTCAGTAGAATTTTCTAACGAATTTGCTAGATTTTTTTATTAAACTGATTTCGTTTCATCACTCCATGACTGATTTGAAAATAACGTTTTTACCAAACTAAATTATGCAAACATACCAATTATGGAAGTCGTATGATAATTAGCTTGATCGATAATTGTACTTTGATTGAAGGATAATAATCTAAGCATGGTGATTGTGCTTCCAACGGAGATCGATGGTCTATCTTACTTGGAGAAAAATTTCAACTGGAACCTGGTATTGACCGCTGATCACACTCAGAAAGAGACGATTCTTAATTTACCAAAGTTCATAGTGGAATCTACAATCAATTTGAAGGAGATACTTCAAAAAGTGAGTCTTCACCCAGAGAAATAATTTATTTGGATTGAGTGAATTTTATTAGTTCATTTAATTTTGAACAAATTCTATGGCTAAATGAACTTGTAAATTAATTAATTAGTACATTAATCAATTTTAAGGGATCGCGCCGAAATTTCGAAATCGCTGGTGCCTTCGTCTATCGTGATGAGTTTACTATTTTAGTTTTAAATGTACAAAAGTGAGAAAGAATTAGGTTTTGACTTTTTCATTGCTTATAAAAGGGTTTAAGGGTTCCCCTGACACAATTTAACTCAACCGATTGAGTTGAATTTTGTTACAACGTACACAATATGTACACAAATATAACTGAATGAGTTTTTTGAAAATGTGTATTTTTGATTTTTGGGATTTTTTTTCTCAAAATTGGCTGACATGGCAATTTTTAAAAATGAGTAATATCCAACTACATCATAACATCATTGAATTGCACTTTTTTCCGATTTTTGTCGAATCATTTATTCAGAATATAATGAGGAAAATGATGACAAAAATCGGAAAAAATTCATATTTCGATTTCGAGGCTTATTTAGTTATATTCAACTAAAAATTAAAGTCAAGCGATTGAGAATTGCGTCATGAGGAAACTTCGAATTCCTTTTTCATACGATTAAAAAGTTTTCATTGAAAAAATATCAATTCAGGGGAAGTTATTTGATTCGAATATTCCATTTCACTGGGTGTGAGAGAAATAATTAATTGTTTCGTCCTCTTTTCATCAGATCGGATTCTTAGCAATGTTCGAAGACATTGCTGATCTCTCCGGCATTGCAACTGTACCTCTGAAAGTCAGTAAAGTACTGCAGAAAGCTTTCATCGAGGTGAACGAATTCGGGACAGAGGCAGCAGCTGTTACAGGTAATTGAAAATTTAAAGAAATTGATGGTGTAATGGAATAGATTGCTCTAGATTTACTACTTAATTGAATTGATGCAGTGATGCATTGATGCATTTTTTTCTCTCCAATAAAATTATCAAACATGAAAATTTCCTCTTCTCAACTTCACGTATGAAAAAATTTAATAGAAAAAATTGAATTCCAAATGGACTTTGTATTAGTTTTTGAGTGATTCTATTAAAATATTCAATAGAAATTATTCTATTGAAAAAGTCAATAGAATTCAATTTTTCTATAAGGGAGGTTGGGGTAAAACGGACACTTTTGACTATTTTTTTAATGTTAATGAGGGATTGAAATGTTGATAAAATTTAATAATTTTTTTCTCAATACAAAGAACAATTCTTTCCCTTTGTGACGAGCCTCAACTGAGCTCAATTGATCAATTTGTTTCTGAGTTATGAATGGTTAAATAAAAGTGTCCGTTTTACCCCACCCTCCCCTACAACGTCTTCTATTAAGATATTTTCTATAGAATTTCGTCGGCTCAAATTTTTACAAGATTTTTCGTTTGATTTTCTTGATGAAAATAAATAAAAAATAAAATGGAAAAAACAGAGAAAATTGAAAGAATAACAAAATGTAATTAATTGGCTGATGGTTATCGCCAATATCCATGTATCTCCTGGGAGAAGTTGAAGAGAGATTAATTGACAATGTTGAAATTTTGAGAAAAAATACGAAAAATGAAATAAATAAAAAATCATAAAAATTCCAACGAGTGAATGTTCATTCTTTATGATAAGATATTTCCTAGTTAAAAATATCTATTTTGGTATAAAATAATTGTTCACCCACAGTTGCACAAATAAGATTGAGAAGAATGGTCCACGAGCCAGATGAATTCAACGTTGATCGCCCCTTCATGATGGCAATTCGCCACAAACCCAGTGACATTCCCCTCTTCATCGGCAGCGTTCGTGATATTGGCGAAGCTATCCCCAAAGATGAGCTCTAACTCACCACCGCATCTATTCTCCACCACAACAGATCCATTTTATAATATTTTCATGTGAACAACAATACAAATCAATAAAGTTGATTTTTCTATCACAATTTGATATTTATTCTTTCCACATCTCAATATCAATTGCAATATCAAATAACAACTGAGTTTATTAGCACTGGGTGGAATAGAATCTTCAGTTAACATTAGTAATTTCACGGATAAGCGTTTAATTTACAATAGATTACGATCTGTCTATGTGGGGTTCATTTGGCGGAATCTAGGAATTCCTTCAGCTGCTGGGGTTCAACGATTGGTAAAGAACAAGTTCGATGACGACAGACAAATATCGTTGCTCTGCCGTTGTGGGGTTTCATTTTGAGAACGAGCTCATTTTTTCGGGATATTATCGAGTCAGAATCGTCTGGATCGATTAGAAGTAGCACTTTCGATGGAATTAGGCGATCTCGGATTACGTCCAGAAGTTCTTGGGTGTCTTTAGCATCTTTCTTTCCTGCTATGTACAACTAGAAGCATAAAGAGCGTAATTATGACTTCCATTCATAATTATGATTAATTTTTATTTTTCATTTTTTTTCAGTTTCATTCATAATTATGATGAATGGATGAATGATTCATTTCCATTACTATATGACTTTACACTATATACAGTTGAAGTATATTGTCGGTCGTTATGCGCACGTTATATAAAATGCAGATAGAAAACAATTAGTTTAGTAATTAGCGGTTGCGACACAGTTTCATAATTATGACTAATTTTAATTAGTTTGATTAAAAAATAAATTCCACAAGATTTTATCACGCACAAAAAAATTAATAGAAAAACCTAGGGAGTTCGTTAGAAAATTCTATTGAATTTCTATTCAACTTTCTATTAGTTTTTGGCCGATTCTATTGAAATATTCAAAAGAAATCCATTAGAATTGTTTAGCGAATTCGCTAGGTTTTTCTATTAAAATTTTCCATCCGTGATTTTCAAATTTGTTGGATATCTGCTGAATTGGTTCCAACGAGGAAACAAAACAAAAGCAGTGAAAAAACCCATATTGAAAATCTATTGAAAATTCTATTAGTTTTACGTAAACTTTATTGAGCAATTTTTTTAAATAGAAAATGTCCAATAGAAGTAAAATTTGATTTTTCTACAGAAATTTCCCGACATGAATCGTTTTTTCACTCTTTTTTTCTCTTTTCATTAGAAAAAATGAATCAAAAAAGGTTCGAAAATTTGAGCGGGGGAATTTCAACATGAAAAATATATCAACAGAATAGAAAAACCCAATCCTATGAAATATTTTACAGAAACTATTTTCTCTTGAAAAAAAACGCGGAAAATGCGGAATTTTTCAATAGAATCGACCAAAAACGAATGGAAAATTCAATAAAATGTGCCAGCGAATTTGCGAGGTCCTTCGATGAATATTTTTCATTTGTGTAATTATTGAGAATGAATGAGTGAATTAACTCGCCCCAGACAATCTCTTGTAATAGTGTTTTACAAGATCACTCACCTGAGTTGTAGCATCATGATAATGGAGCAAAGCACAGACTAGTTCCGGCAGGGCCACTGGAATTCTCGTTAAAGTGTCAGAGAAGAATCTGAAGATCGCCTCAGCCTTTTCGTTGAAATCTTTGCGATCCAACAACGAAGCTAAGCGTAACAGATTATTAGCAGCTACTGAGTTGCTTGAGGGCTCTGCTCCATCGTGTTCTGTGAAAGGGAATTGCCTTGTCTCCGTAAATAGCCCCATTAAGGCCCGGATGGATTATCATAATGATTATCACGATCACAATGATTATCATGATCATAATCCACCAGCTATGGAAAATTCAAGGGGTATTAAATAAAAATACGGGGAATTTCTATAATAATTACATATCCATACGTGAAAAATTCACGTGCTATCTAATAAAATTTCTAGTGCCAACACTGCAATTTTCCTTAAAGATTTCTTACATTTCAACCCTATTTATGCCCTCAAAGAACCAACAAGTAGGGAATTGCTTTCGTCACGACATAGTCCATATATTTTTGTTAATAAATTAGCAATTTGCTTCAGAATGAAATTTTTATGACGATGTCTTTTAAATGGAATTCATTGATTTATTGAATTCAACATTGCCACAATATCGGTAGCCAACATTGCCCCAACGTTGGTAGCCAACATTGCCCCAACATTGACAGTCAACATTGTCCCAACATTGCACCAACGTTGTTCTAACTTTGGTAGCCAACATTGCCCCAACATTGACCGCCAACATTGTCCCAATATTGGCAGCCAACATGGCCCCAACGTTGTTCTAACGCTGGTAGCCAACACTGTCCCAACATTGGCAGTCAATATTGCCCCAACGTTGCTCTAACGTCGGTAGCCACCCTTGCCCCAACATTGCTCTCTGAATATTGCATTTAAAATAAATGTTTTCAACAACAGATAATACTATCAATCTCATGATCGAATTCGGCCAAGATGGCATTAGGAATAATATTGAAAATCCCAATTGGATTCATTTGAACAATAATTTTTTCAGTAATCGTCGAAAAATGATCGGCCACACCCACATACATAAATACATCCTGCCTGCCACGGCAAAATTACTTATCCTGCCCCAAAAAATTATAATTTTCAGATTTGACGAGCACAATGCTCCCACTTGGACTCTAAAACTCACCATCCTTCAGCCGCAGAATGATATTCCTCTCCCCCTTCGTAGTATTGAAATACCCGCCTCCCTCGGCATCCCAAAACAGCTCATCCTGGACATCCTGGAGTTCCTCAGCGAGCGCCAGCCAGTGTGGATCCAGCGTAGAAGTATACAAATCAACGAGTCCCTGCACCATGAAGGCGTAATCCCCGTGGAACCCGTTGATAGGAACCCCCGGCTGAGTGATAACATCGTTATCTCCCCTGTAGCAGCTCCTCAGAAGAATCCTCTTACCCTCATCAAACAGATACTTCTCGACAAACCTTGCTGCGTCCACCGCATACTGAATGTAATCCTTGTTCCTCGTGGCAGCCCCAGCGTACGACAATCCACTGATCATCAGCCCGTTCCACGCAGTGACGATCTTGTCATCCAGATGAGGCCTCGGTCTCTTGGACCGCTCTTCAAACAATATCCTATTCGCGTCGCTCAAGTGTCCCTTCAACTCGTCAACACTCAACTCGAAATGCTCAGCAGTTTTCTCCAACCCCCCGTAGACAATCAGAACATTCTTCCCGGTCAGTTCATTGTGCGGGTCCTGATGCTTCTCCAAATTCCCGTTCTTCCTCACCCCGTAATGATACCCGTAAACATCGCTCAACCGTACCTTATCCTTGATCTTCTTATCCAGAAGGTGATCAATCTCCTCGGCAGTCCACACGTAGAAAGCCCCTTCCTTCTTCCCCTTGGCGTCAGCCGAAGGCAGGGAGTCGGCGTCTTCAGCGCTGTAGTAACCCCCCTCCTTGTGCCTAAGCTCCCTCGTGACGTAGGTCACAATGTCGTCGATGATTTCCGCGTAAAACTCGTCCTTGGTCGCAACGAAAGCGTTTGAGTACGATCTCAGGAGTTGGCCCTGGTCATACAGCATCTTCTCGAAGTGCGGCACGTGCCACTTACCGTCGACCGAGTACCGCGAGAAGCCTTGACCAACGTGATCGTGGATTCCACCCCTCGCCATCTTCTTCAGGGTTTTCACGCACATGCTCAGGCATTGCTTGCCGAGGTCGCTTTTACGGTCTCGCGCGTACATGTGGAAGAGGAGGTTCAGGTTGACAGGCTGGGGGAACTTCGGGGCCTCGGAGAAGCCGCCGAATTCTGGGTCGAAGGAGCGGACTAGCTGCTGAACGCATTTGTTGCCGCAGTCGGCGGGCGGCGGGGGCGATCCGGAGAGCTTTTCTCCTTTGCTCGATTGCTCCAGGATCTCGAGGATCGTGGAGCCAGAGCGGATCAGATCTTGCTTGTTCTCCAGCCACTTTTGGGCGATCGACAGAAGGACTCTTTCGAAACTGGGCTGGCCGTACTTGTCCACCGGAGGGAAGTACGTTCCTCCCATCACTGGGATCAGGGTCGGCGTCAGGAAGACACTCATCGGCCAGCCGCCGTGGCCGTAGATGTTCTGGACAAAGGTCATGTAGATCTTGTCGATGTCCGGTCGCTCCTCGCGGTCGACCTTTATGTTCACGAAGTAACGGTTCATTATCTTCGCGATGTCCTCGTTCTCGAAGGACTCGCGCTCCATGACGTGACACCAGTGACACGTGGAGTAGCCGACGGAGAGGAAGATGAGCTTGTCCTCGCGTTTCGCTTTCTCGAGGGCCTCGTCGCCCCAGGGGTACCAGTCCACTGGGTTCGAGGCGTGCTGGAGGAGGTACGGGGACTTCTCCAGGGCCAGCTTGTTCCGGTGGGGCGGGGGCTGGGGGCGCGAGGATGATGCCATTGTTAAGGCGGGGGGCAGGGTGTAGTCTACTCTGAAATTCAGGCAGTTCGAGGGAGGTGGACATTAGTTTCCAGTGGATTTTATCGTGGATATGTCATGGTTTCAATATGGGGTTTTTTTAGAAACGGTCCTTAGGTGCAGCGCCATCTATCGGAATTCTAGAAAATTCTAGACATTTCGAGGTAATTCGTTTAGTGATAACAAGGATTTTGAGTGAAAAACCGAAAAATGGAAATATCTCGAAAACTTTGTACGAACGGGTATGCATGTTTTGATTGACTGAGATAGAAGACATCGAGACGAATATTTTGAAGGAAAAAAAATTGAAATCGGTCGAGTAGTTTTTGACATATTTGCGAAAAACAATTTAGAAACAAATGGCGATTTCTCAAAAACGGCAGGAATCGATTGGGCTGAAATTTAGCACAGACTTAGTTCTCGTCGCTATCTATAATCTGACAGAATTTCAGATTTTTTGGAATCATTTTAGCCCTTTAATTCTTCAATTTTCGAAAAGTTGACCACCAGGTGGACATCCGCACATCCACACAAGGTTGTCAAACTTCGTATTTTTACGTTTCAGACTATTCTCCATAATTTCCAAGCAGAATTAGGGAATCTAAAAATCGAACAATTTTTAACAGAGCAAAAGGATTTTTTAAATCTTCGTTTAATGATAACAAGGATTTTGAGTGAAAAACCGAAAAATGGAAATATCTCAAAAACTTTGTACGAACGGGTATACATGTTTTGATTGACTGAGATAGAAGACATCGAGACGAATATTTTGAAGGAAAAAAAATTGAAATCGGTCAAGTAGTTTTTGACATATTTGCGAAAAACAATTTAGAAACAAATGGCGATTTCTCAAAAACGTCTGGATCGATTAGGCTGAAATTTAGCACAGAGTTAGTTCTCGTCACTACCTATAATCTGACAGAATTTCAGATTTTTTGGAGTCATTTTAGTCCTTTAATTCTTCAATTTTCTAAAAGTTGACCACCAGGTGGACATTCACACATCCACACAAGGTGCGGTCAAACTTCGTATTTTTACATTTCAGATCATTCTACATAACTTCCAAGCAGAATTAGGAAATCTAAAAATCGAACGACAACAATCCTTCCATCTGGAAGCAAAAACAAAATAATCGCTCGAGAAAATAAAGTATTGGCTTCAGCAGAATGCGAAAAGAGTCTGAAACCTATCAGCTCAGAATTCTTATCATTCTGCATGATAAAGCATAAACATTAATTGGCCTGAATGCTCATGAGATTTCACAACTACCTTTTGCTCCCAGCTGATAACACCGTTCCGCGATACACCCCAAGTCTCTTACGTGCGCTGTAAATATGGGATGACTCTGATAGACAGCGAGTTGCTGAAATGACAAAGCATCTCACACAAATCATACCATCAATTTCCCCGGTTTTCACGATAAGTTACATAAACATATCAGCTATTCCCCTTATCTCACACACAGAATGACAAGTCCCATATGACCATTGTTGCTATGTACATGAGCACATTCAGTACATAAATAGATTACGATGGAGTGTCATTAACCATCACCTGGTGGACCAATGACGATCGCACAGTCCCTCCTCGTTCACCCAGTAACTGGTTTACTCGGTTATTAAAAAGGATGGAATTTATGGTTTATTAGTGATCAAACAGACGGCGGAGTCGTCCGGCGTTTCACTTTCATTTTCACTTCACATGACACTCAATGACCTAACCTCTTGATCCCACGAGTCTCCCCGCGATTCCGTGAAGAATTCCAACAATTCAATCCGCAAGATTCGAGATTTATTGAATTTACGGGGATTATTGATGATTCGCGGAAGAATCTAACGGTTCTCGCACTCTTTTTACTCTATTTTTCGGTTTATATAAACGTTTTTTCGAGTGGGGTGACATCTAGTTATCTTTTTATGCAGTCTATGCACATACATAAGGGCTACTCTACAATAAAGGGTAGTCGGACAGTTTTTCCCCGGACAAAATTTCCCGGATAAAATCTCCCTGAAAAAAATTTCCCCGGACAAAATCTCCCCGGTACGAAATTGGTCATATGACGCGATCTAAAAAATGACGGTCATTTTGCATCTCTAGTATCAATGTCTCCCGTGCCGGTTCCGTTCCCGGGCGACCGGATACCTCTCTATTGTAGAGTAGCCCTAAAGATTTGAGGCGTGTGTGGTGTGTGTACACGTGTGTGAGATCCGATCAATTAGCCCCTCATGTATAGATATTCCAAATTTTTATTTTTTTCCTCATTGAAGTAGTTTTGAAGAAAATTGCGAGCTAATAAAAAACATTTCCTAGTCAGTACTTTTTTTAAAATAAATTTTTGAAAAATCACCCCTCAAAAAAAAAGCGTTATCCCCCCTATTTCATTATTTCCAAAAAATTTTGTCACCAATCGGTCGCAAATTGTTTGAAGTTTTTGCGAGTTAAGAAAAAATCGTCAATGCACTCCTATTATTGTGTAAATTAACAATTCCAATTTCAACTGAAAACCAGAGTTGATGACCAGAATTTGTAGCAGAGATGTCAGACAAGATATGAATGTTTTTTTTGG